GTGAGAAATTGCCTATCAAACACATCGGTAAGGCAAACATTTACACATCCGAAAATAAAAAATTGGCACTGAAAAAAGTGTTGCATGTACCTCAAATCAACAAAAATCTTTTGAGTGTCTCTCAGCTCACATCTTCTAACAATATTGAAGTAATTTTTAACTCATCTTATTGTTTTGTGAAGGACAAAGCCATCGGGAAGGTGCTGCTGGTGGGGAAGCTTAAAGATGGTCTGTACTGCTTGGGCTATTCGAAACCGACTGCCTTTTATCATCCTCTTTCTCCAGCCTTGATCACCAATAAAAACAAAAATGATAGTATCTGATCTCCTGAGTCAAAAAAGCTACAAATATGGCACAGGAGGCTAGGACACACATCACTAAAAATTCTAACTACTATCTTAAGATCATGTAATGAACCCTCTAAATTCAATGAAAGCTTCTTTTGTGATGCTTGTCATCTGGGCAAGTCTCATTCTCTTCCTTACTCTCTATCGTTGTCACATGCGAAATTTTTTTCGAAATAGTCCACACCGATGTCTGGGGATCTTCTCCTTTCACTGCACCTTCGGGCCATAGATATTATGTGATCTTCGTAGATGATTACAGCCGCTTTACCTAGCTCTATCCACTTAAACAAAAATTGAACGTCCATCAAGCCTTTACCCTCTTCAAACAACAAACAGATACCCAGTTTGGAAAGAAAATAAAATGTCCTCAGTCAGATTTGGGGGGAGAGCTCACTACTTTAACTCAAACACTCCAAAATAATGGAATAAAAATTAGATATTTCCTGCCCTTTCTCTTCAGCTCAAAAATGGACCAGCTGAAAAAAAACATCGACACATAGCTGAAACAAGCCTCACACTCCTTGCTAAATCAAGTGTACCCTTGAAATATTGGTTTGATGTCTTTGAAATAACTGTGTTTCTCATAAACAGAATGCCTACACCCACCTTAAATCATATCTCACCTCTTGAAAAATTGTATCACAAAAACCCACACTACAAACTACTGAAAACCTTTGGTTGTGCCTATTTTTCTTGCTTGAGATCATACAGAATCACAAGCCTTCGCTCAACAAAATGTGTCTTTCTTGGGTATAGTCCTCTGCACAAAGGATATAAATGCCTCAGTTCCATGAAAAAAATTTATGTGTCAAAAAACGTTGTCTTTAATGAATTAAAGTTTCCTTTTCACCATGGCTTCATAAACACTCATCACCCTGAAGTACCCTCTAGAATTACACTACCATTATGGTTTAATGTGTCCTCTTACTTCCCACGAGCCTCACCTTCTTCTAGGAGCTCAAACAACAGAGATATCTCTTAAGCCACAATACCAGCATCTTCTTAATGGCCGAGTCATCACCTCCACACTACTTGAGCAACTCAAACTTTGCTCCTGCAAACAACACAATGGAAAGTGACATGTCTCAACTTGAACCTGAGTCTCCTATCAATCAAAGCATGATGTTGCACGATCAAATAGAATAAGAAGAACTGCAAATAGATGACACTTTAACTGAACCTCCTAGGCACCAAATGATGACAAGAGCTCAAGCCGGAATTTTTAGACCGAGAAACTTATCACAGGACTTCTAGATGTTTAATGTAACAAAAAAAGATAACCTCAGCATACCCACTTTAGTCGCAAAAGCAATCAACAATCATTTTTGGAAATCGACAATGGAAGAAGAAATGACCGCTCTCAGCAATAACAAAATCTGGAAATTGGTACCTTATCATCCTGAAATGAATCTCGTAGGTAATAAATGGGTCTACAAGATCAAAACAAATGCAGATGGCAGCTTTCAACGGTGTAAAGCCAGGTTAGTTGCCAAAGGATTTCATCAAACACCCGAAATTAATTTTCATCAAACCTTCAACCCAGTGATTAAGGTGTCAACTCTCAGAGTTATACTAATTTTGGCAGTCTCTAATGGTTGGCGCATTAAACAATTAGATGTGAATAATACCTTCCTAAATGAGGAATTGAAAGAAACGGTGTGTATGAAGCAATCTAAAGGATTTGAAGACTCTATACATCCTAATCATGTTTGTCAACTCAACAAAGCACTCTATGGACTCAAGCAAACACCAAGAGCTTGGTTTAATAAGCTCAAATCCACTTTACTCAAATGGGGCTTTAAAAATTCTCAAGCAGATACTTCATTCTTCTTCCTTGTTATTGAAGCCATTAAAATCTTCATAATAATTTACGTTGACGATATAATTATGACAGGAAACAAGCCCGAAAGAATGCGGAGATTTATCATTCAACTCTCTATCTTATTTGCACTGAATGACCTAGGTGAGCTTCATCTTTTCCTTATAATTGAAGCAAAACATGATGAAATTGGACTTTTCCTTGCGCAAATAAAATACACTGAAGAACTCCTCAAACGAAACAATATGCACTCTTCAAAACCTTGTTCGACCCCAGCAGTCGTTGGAAGCAATTTGTCTGCAGAGGAAGGACATGAGTTGTCTGATCTAATTCCTTAGAGGAAAATTATCAGTTCCCTTCAATACTCGACTCATACAAGACCGAATATCTCATTCATCGTCAACAAATTCAGTCAATTTATGCAAAAACTTATCAATCTTCACATGAAAGCACTGAAAAAAGTGCTTAGATATATGAAAGGAACGACTAAAATCTAACTTCACATCAAACCCAGTAATAGATTGACCATTTTTGGATACTCTAATGTCAACTGGGTTTGCTCAAAAGATGATCGATGCTCAACCTCAGGTTACTGTGTCTATTTTGGAGACAATCTAGTATCTTGGAGCTCAAAAAAACAGAATGTTGTCTCAAGATCAAGTGCAGAATCCGAATACAGGGCTCTAGCTCACATATCTTATGAAATTGTTCAGTTAGAGTCCTTACTCAAATAAATAAATCTTGTCATTCCACAAACCTCCATCTCTTAGTGTGATAACATGAGCGCCACAGCTCTTACAAGCAATCTGATTTTCATTCACGAACCAAGCATATTGAAGTAGATATCCACTTCATTCGTGACAAAGTGTTAAGAGGAGTTCTCGACATCAAATATGTGCCTTCCTGCGATCAGACTGCAGATTGCTTCACCAAAGCACTGTCACAATCACAAGTCAAGTATTTTATAGAGAAATTTGGTCTCACTCGGCAACTACTTGTGAAGAACAACTGGAAACAGTCGACTCAAGAAAACAAGTGTGCCAACTTATCCAGATCAACGAAAAGTCTCAGTCAGCATGCCAACTCATCCCACAACTCCCAGACAAACACACATGGCCGATAACTGGAACACAATCGTCCTCATGATATAACAGAATCGTCCCTCACTGAAAACTGTTAAAGTTGCATAGA